GCAGATAATATACAATACGTAAAACTATGCAATACAATATTGAATTGATTTAATTAAAATAATTGAAATTATTAAGAAATCGAGTTAAATATATATGCGTTTATAAATTTGATACTGATTTTATTTCATAAAAAAATGAATTATGAATTTATTCAGAAGTTCCAAGAATTAAGTTTAGATATGGGAAGCAATAATAATCAAGACTCGTTAGAATTTGGTATCAAAAAATTTATAATTGACACTAAAACTCCGTTCTATGCTAAAATTTCTGAACAGTGTGCAATTATTAACGGCATGGTTTACTTTTATTTGAGAACTGACAAAGGAGTAAAATGGTTTTTTTTAACAAGTTTATCAAATACATATAATGAGCATTTACCAAAAGGGTGCAATTTTTTGTTAGAAACAAAATATAAAAAGGTGGAATCTCTAATTCGAATATTATTAACATTAGAAGAAAGAAACTATATAAGTTTAGATTTCAAAAGTTCAAAAAACGAAAATGAAGTGATTACAAATTTAATTAAGAACGCATACCAAATTGAGGAAGAAAAACCAATTAATTATAATATTTTAGATTTATTTGACACAGCTATACACTTCAAAAACACACTTAAAATCATGGGTGGTTCTTTTTATGATAGAAATATCACAATGAATATACCGAGCTTATTGTTACAAAACTATTCTATTCGAACAATCCAAGTAATTGAGAGAATTTTGCAAGTTGCGCAAACAACACTATTAATTTTTGGCCCATTCGGACGGAACTGTTTATTATATTTGATACAGAACAGTCAATTTTTAGAGTATATTCCAACCTTTGAAGAAGTGCTAGGATTCACAACTGAAGCAAAAAGATATTTCTCATTAGACATACTTTGTAAATTCTTGCTAAAAGATGATCAGTTTAAGGAAGGAAATTATCAAGATTATATCAGATTTATTTTCTATAAAATAATTCCTGTAAATTATTAATTGGCAGTCCGTAGTTAAATGGAACAAATTT